AGAAACAACCCAGATGTTCTTCAGTCGGTAAGTGAATCCATCCATGGATTCATGGCCCATGGACCATGGTCCATCCATGCCATGGAATACTAGCCAGCGGTAAAAAACAAAGAAACACATGGATGAATCCCCAGAGAATTATGCTAGTATAAAAGGCAACCCCAAAAGATTATACTGTATGAACCATTTATATAACATTCTTAAAATGGCAGAATTATAAAGAGGAAGAATAGTTTAGTATTTGGAGGGGTTAGAGATGAGGATGGGGAGAAAGTGACAGAAGGGAAGTAGGTATGATTATAAAAAGACAAGAGGGATCTTGGAAATAATGTAACAGTTCTGCATCATGACTATAGTGGTGAATACCCAAACCTACATACGACATAAAATTGCAGAGAACTAAATACACACACACACACACACACACACACAAATAAATAACTGAGAACATCTAAGTAAGATCTATGGGTTTTATCAATGTCAATATTCTGCTTGTATTACTTTCACGTATTTTTACAAAATATTACCATTGTAGGAAATTATGTAAAGGGTACTCTAAATTTCTTACACCTGCAGGTGATTCTGAAATAATCTCAAAAGGAAAAGTTTAAAAGAAGAAACAACTAGCTTGCATTAAGATGTTGTTGAATCTAGATTAAATAGTGATAAGTGATTTGTATCATCTGAAACTCACCAAAAGCAGAAGTCAGGGAAAAAGATGTTGAAGCACTTTTTTGGTCACTCTCATTTTCCAATAAAGCTGGGTCCTCAATTGTAGAACTCAATTCCAAGCTGATTTCTGCTTTGAACAACACTTCGATTAGTAAAATATTTTCAAGGCTGAAAATCTCAACCATGATTTCTGTATCACGAATGTAATCCAGGGATAAAGGAAAAATATAGACATTCTCAGAACAAGGAAAACTGAAAATAACTGTCACTAGCTAACTCACCCTTAGAGAATATCTAACAAAAGGTCTTGAAACAGAAAGAATATGATGACAGAAGCAATATTGGAGCACGAGGAAGGGAGAAGGAACAATGGAAAGAGCAGAGATCTGAGTGTACAGAAACTGGATTACTCATACAATGCTGGCGGAGACGTAGCATTTCTTATAATACTGAACAAGAGATCTGGTGCTGCAGTTGTTAAAGCATTCGGCTACTCACCAAAAGGTCTGCAGTTCCGTGGGAGCTGTTCCGTGGGAGTAAGATGAGACAGTCTACTTCTAGAAAGATTTACAGCAGTGGAAACCCTGAGGGGCACTTCTACTCTGTCTTGTAGGGTCACTATGAGTCTGAATCTACTCAATGACAGTGGGTATGATTCTTGGTTTATAATACTAAATATGCAATTACCATACGACCCACCAATTGCACTCTTAAACATTAATCCTAGAGAAATAAAAATTTATTTTGACATGAAAAACTACCAGAGTGTTTACAATTGCTTTGCTTTTAATAGCCAAAAACTAGAAACAACGCAGAAGTCCTTCAACAGGTGAGCAGATATACCACGGTACCTATGCATCAAATAGTACTCAACTATAAAAATTAAGAAATTCTTGATACATGCAACAACTTATTGTGATGAAAGTATTCGGTACCTTGACTGTTGTGGAGAATAAACAAACAACTTGTCATCAAATTACACAGAATTAAATAAACACACACACAAAAGAATATGAGTAAGACTGGGTATTCAATAAAATCTATGGACTGTATCATGTTAATATCCTGGTTATGATATTTTACCGTATATTTATTGGGGCAAATAGGAAAATAGAAGTAAGATCTCTGTATAATTTCTCATAACTAAAGTTTCCTCTAAAAAACACTTACAAATTTTAATTTTAATTTAATGAAGAAAAGCTAGTGCTAGCTCACATTTCCAAGGTGTTGATGAATCTAGTGCTACTTGTAATATCCACCACTCGCCTGTCAGTTTGTACTACAGTGGCTTGCATATTGCTATGATGCTGAAAGCTATGCCACAGTATTTCAAATACCAACAGGGTCTACCATAGTGGACAAGTTTCAGTGGAGCTTCCAGACTAAGACAGACTAGGTGGAAGAACGTGGCAATCTGCTTCTGAAAAAACTGGCCACTGAAAACCTTATGAATAGCAGTGAAACACTGTCTGATATAGTGCCAGAAGATTAGCCCCTCAGGTTGGAAGGCACTCAACAAAACCTGCTTCAACAGGTGAAGGGTTAAACAAACCACAGAAAATTCATACCATGGAATAATACTTGGCAGTGAAAAGGAACGTGATCCAGGATTTTCCGTACGTAGAAAGTAAACAAATGCTCAAGAAAAATGTTTCTTGTTTGGTTTTCTGTTGAGTTTTTGATTTTTAACCCACTACAGTACCAGCATTTGTTCTTAGTGAAGAATTTCATTATTTATAAGTAGAAAGATGAAGTAATTAAATTGAGTGATCTCAAACATACTTTTCTCATCTTTACAAGAAGAGTTGAAGACCTCTAAAGTCTTTTTCAACTCTAAAAATCTGTCTGTCAGTGCTATCTAAATACAAAGGACTTACTTGTCTGAAGGGAAAAAGGGAATCACATATTGATACATGACACAAGGGATCCTTAAGGTGATGGAAATTGTCTGTATCTTGACTATGGTATCACACATACTGCTGTCATAAAATTGCACAGAAATAAATATACACACATACACAAGAATGCAATTAAATTGAGGACAAATTAATAATATTTGAAGATTCTATAATGTCAATATCCTACTTGAACATTCTCTACAGTTATACATGATGTCATACTTTGGGAAAATAGGTAAAGTATAAAAAGGATCACTGTAGTATATCTTACATCTGAATATGAATCTAAAACTATGTCAAAATAAAAAGTTCAATACAAACAAGAGCTATCACTAGCTTAGATTAAGGATGGTGATGATTCTAGATGAAATAATGTTACTTGTAATATTATTTCAAACTCACCATCACTGGATGAGGTGTGGACAGATGAAAAGGAAGTATACTGGTCATTCTCATTTCCCAATAAAACTGAGTAATTTGTTGTCTCAGAGCTGTTTTCCAGGCTAGTTTCTGCTTCTTCCAGTATATCTATAGGAAATAAAGTAATATGGATATGGAGAAAAAGGATCATTCATTCATTGCTAGGGGAAATATAGAAGGGTACAGGCAATTTTTAAAAGAGTTTAGCACTCTCTTAACATCTTATTCCACCACTCGTCTGTCAGTTTGTCTTACTGTGGTGGCTTGTATGTTGCTGTGAAGCTGGAAACCATGCCACCAGTGTTTTAAATACCAGCAGACTCATTCATGGTGCACAGCTTTCAGCAGAGCTTCCAGACTAAGACAGACTTAGAAGAATCTGGTATTCTATTTCGGGGGGGGGGGGATGGCCAGTGAAACCGTTATGAATATTAGCAGAACTGTTTGCTATAATACCAGAAGAAGAGCCCCTCAGGTCGGAAGGCACTCAAAATATGACTGAGGAAGAGCTGCCTCCTCAAAGTACAGCTGATATTAATGAAGTGGATGGAGTAAAGCTTTCAGGACCTTCATTTGCTAATGTGGAATAACTCAAAATTAGAACAAACAGCTGTACATATCCTTAATAATCAAAACATGGAATGTATGAAGTATGAATCTAAGAAAATTGGAAGACATCAAATATGAAATGGAATGAATAAGGATCGATATCCTAGGCATTACTGAGATGAAATGAACTGGTATTGGCCATTCTGAATTGGATAATCATATGGTCTACTATGCCAGAAGGCTGGCGGTTCAAACCCACCAGCCACTCCTCAGAAGGAAGGTTGGGCAATCCTACTTCCGTAGTGATACTGCCTCAGAAACCCAAGGAGGGGTCGCTATGAGTCGGGGCCGAGTCGACGGCAAACAACAACAACAACAACTATGCCAGAAAGGATGAATCAAAGACGAATGGCATCACTTTCATCATCAAAAAGAATATCTCAAGATCTATAAAGTACCACATTGTTAGTGATAGTATAATATTCATATGCTTACATGGAAAACCAACTATTATTCATATATACACATCAACCACTAATGCCAAAGATGAAGGTTTTTCCCAATTTCTGCTGTCTGAAATTGATAAAACGTGCTATTAAGATGCACTGATAATTACCAGTGCTTGGAGTAGAAAGATGGAAACCAACAAGGATTGGTAGTTGGAAAATATGGCCTTGGTGATAGAAATGAGGGTCAAAGACCTCATGACAGAATTTCGCAAGACCAATCAACTACTGATTTCAAGAATTTTTTGTTTACAACAACTAAATGCAACTATACACTTGGACCTCACCTGATCAAATACAAAGGAAATCAAACTGACTGTATCCATGGAAAGAGCCAATGGAGAACGTCAATATCATTAGTCAGAGTTAAGACCAGGGGTCGACTACAGAACAGACTGTTAGTTGCTCATATGGAAGTTCAAATTGAAGCTGAAGAAAATGAAAACAGGTCCACAAGCACCAAAGCATGACCTTCAGAACATCCCACCTGAATTTAGAGATCATCTCAAGAGTGCATTTAATGCATTAAACACCAAGGACAGACAAGTTGTGGGATGATATCAAGGACATCATACATGAAGAAAGCAAAAGGTAATTAAAATAGGGGAAAAAAAGACAGGAAAAAAAAGAAAAGACCAAAGTGGATGTCAGAAAAGCCTCTGAAACTTGTTCTGAATGTAGAATACCTAAGGTAAGTGGAAGAAATGATGAAGTAAGAGCTGAACAGAAGATTTCAAAGGGCAGCTGGAGAAGACAATGTGAAATATTATAATGAAATGTGCAAAGACCTGAAGATAGAAAATCAAAGAGAAGAGCACGCTCAGCATTTCTGAAACTGAAAGATTCAACCCTCAATTTGCAATATTGGGCTCTGATGCTGCAATGATGAAAGCATTTGGCCACTAACCTAAAAGGTCGGCAGTTTGAACCCACCAGTCAGTGGTGAAAGACGAAGCAGTCTACTTCCATAAATATTTACAGCCTTGGAAACCCTATGAAGCACTTCTACTCTGTCCTATAGGATCGCTGAGTCAGAAACAACTCAGTGTCAGTGGGTGGCTTTATGAGAAAAATGTTAAAAGATGCAGTAAACATCAAAAGAAGATGGAAGCAATAGACAGACTCACTGTATCAAAAGGAACTGGTCAATGCTCAATCATTTCAAAAGGTAGCATATAATCAAGACCAATGGTACTAAAGAAAGTCTATGCTGCACTAAAGGCACTGGCAAAAAAACAAGACTCCAGAAACTGACAGAATACTCATTGAGATGTTTCAACAAACAGATGCAATACTTGAAGTGCTCACTTGTCTATGCCAAGAAATTTGAAAGACAGCTACCTGGCCAATTAACTGGAAGACATACATATTTGTGCCCACTCCAAAGAAAGGTGATCCAACAGAATGCAGAAATTATCAAACAATATAATTAAAATCACATGTAAGTAAATTTCTGTGGAAGATAACTGAAAAATGGTTGTGGGAGTACATGGACGGGGAACTGCCAGAATGAAAGCTAGATTCAGAAGAGGATGTGAAATAGGGATATGACTGCTGATGTCAGATGAATTTTGGCTGAAAGCAGAGAATACCAGAAAGATGGTTGTTGTCAGGTGCCGTCGAGTTAGTTTAAACACATAGCAACCCTATGTACAACACGGTGTTTTACTGACTATACAAAGGCATTCAATTGTGTGGATAATAACAAACTATAGATAAAACTGTGAAGAATGGGAATTCCAGAACACTTAATTGTGCTCATGCAAAACCTGTACATAGACCAAAAGGCAGTCATTTGAACAGAACAAAGGGATAACGTGTGATTTAAAGTCAGGGAAGGTGTGTGTCAGGTTTCTTTCCTTGCACCATAATAATTCAAGCTGTATGTTGAACAAATAATCTAAGAAGCTGGACTATATGAAGAAGAATGTGGAATCAGAATTGGAGGAATATTCATTAACAACCTGCAATACACAAAATGACACAATTTTGTTTGCTGAAAGCAAAAAGGACTTTAAATACTTACTGATGAAGATCAAAGACTACAGCATTCAGTATGTATTGCACCTGAACATGTATGTAGCAGATCCTGGACAGAGTGGGAGAACCATGTGGAACAAAATTCAGTATCATTAAAAAAAAAAAAAAAAGCACCAGGTTTGCTCAGATAGAGCCTGGTGGAGCCACTGAGAGTACGGCCCCTAGCTGCCTTTCAGGTCTGGACTTGACCTCTGGTGGCTTACAGCCAAACAAAAGATAGGCATACGAGCTGAACATTTACATTAGGCAGATACACTCCTTGGAGAGAACAATACAAATCCACCAGCTTGACCTTATAGACATCTACAGAGAGCTTCACTCAACAACAGTACAATATACATTCATTTCCAGTGCACATGGAACATTCTCCTGAATAGACCATATGCTAGGCCACAAAGCAACCCTCAATAAATTTAAAAACACTGAAATACTACAAAGTATCTTCTCAGATCACAATGCTATGAAATTAGAAATCAACAATAGGAAAACCAATGGTAAAAGAGTAAACGCATGGAAACTGAGTAACAACCTCCTTAAAAACAACTGGGTAATAGAAGAAATAAAAAATGAAATAAAAAAATTCCTTGAATCAAATGAGAATGCAAAAACAACATACCAAAATCTTTGGGACACAGCAAAAGCAGTGATCAGCGGCCAATTTATAACAATAAATGTACACATCAAAAAAGCAGAACCAAAATAAACACCTTAATCTAACATCTCCAACAGTTAGAAAAAGAGCAACAAAAAAAAGCCTACAATCACCAGAAGAAAAGAAATAAATAATAAAGATTTGAGCAGAAATGAATGAAACATAAAATATAAAGACAATAGAAAAAAAATCAGCAAGAATAGTTGTTTTTTATTTTTAAGATTAATAAAATTGACAAACCACTGGCATATTTAACAAAGGAAAAGAGGGAGAGAATACAAATAACATGAATAAGAAGCAAACTGGGCGACATCACAACAGAATCAACAGAAGTTAAAAGGATAATAATACCAGGATACTATGCAGAACTATACTCCAACAAATTTGAAAACCAAGAAGAAATGGACATATTTCTAGAAACATACCTTAGCTAAACTAACTGACTGCAGTGAAAAGGTCGAACAGATCCGTAACAAAAGAAGAAATTGAACAGGTCATAAAAAAAAATTAGCAAGAAAAAAAAAGTCCCAGCCCAGACTGTTTCAACAGAGAATTCTACCAAACATTCAGAGAACTGACACGAATCCTACTCAAAACTATTCCAAAACATACAAAAGGAATGGAATCCTCCTTAACTCATTTTATGAAAAAAG